AAGTCCTCACGCAAGTGTGTGGACACTGTGTTCCATACTGTGAAAGATTCTTTGCTCATCTTTGTGGCCTTTCAGAATCTGGCACGTGATTCATGGTCGAGGCCTCCCTCTTGCCATGACTATAATTGAAAATCTGCTCCCTGGTAAATGGGACCTTAGGGACTCTGCCTTCGTGCTAACCACAGGTATCTTCCCTCCTGCCACAGTCTTTAACAGGAAGAAGGTGGAGCCATGTTTGTGTTTGTGGACGATTTAAATACCTAGGCAATACTAAACTGTGTCAGATGCTTGTAAAGTAAGAAGCAGGGTTGGGACTAGGGGAGGCTGAGTCAAGCAAGTAGAGCATCCAGCCCTGTCTTTTGGTAAAATTTGGATTTTGTTTTCATCATGGACTTTTTGTACCAATTTTAATTTTTTAAAATATTGCATTAAAAAGATCTCAATGGCTTGAAGTTTTTGGTGCCACCTTAAATTTTCACCCCAGGCGAGTGCTTCATTCACCCTACATTAGGTCTGGCCCTGGGAAGAAGCATTCTGTGGATCCAAATATTCCCCACTCACCCCACCGCTGTTATTTCTATGCAGATGTAAACATAGATTTTCTACATGGAGTAATATTCATATTCAAATTGTTATTCTCAGACAATGACTAGGCATCAGTGATCCCAAGGACTTGTCAATAAATAGGAAAGCCATCCTAATATGAACAATGGTTTTTATTGAGTAGGTCCCAAGCTCTCTTTTCAGTGTTTATATGTATTATCACATTTACATTCCACAATAACCCTCTGCTAGAGGTATTATTCCTTTCATCAGGAAACTGAGATAAAGAAGGATCCGGTCATACCCGTGGAGGTGGAGGGAGGAAGCGGGATGATCCCAGACAGCACACTCCACCCCCGCCTCCTTCCTCCTGTCTACCTGTTCCCATCTGGTTTCCCATTCAAGACCCAGCTTGAGCTCTGCCTGCTTCATAAAGCTTTCCTATCTTCACTACCTAATTGGAATTAATTAGCCCCTCCTTGGAACTCTTGCAAGTCTTCAACAGCCCATACTTGGAGTCAACTCTTATTTTATTGGACTATTATTTAAATCTTTTTTCCCCACAATGTACCCAATTATTTCTTCTCATATCTCTGATCAGTTGGAATTACTTAGAAGTACATTTCTTTGCATCACCCATGTGTGGCCTGGCATGTGAAATGGGTTCAACAAATATTTGTTAATGTGGTTTGCTTTGCTCAAGTGTTTATCATTCCAAGTAGGACTATAAGTAGGAAGTTAATTGATAGATGCACTGAATAGTATCCTCTATTTAGAACAGCCCCACCTGGTTATTTTTAACTGGCATGCTTATGCATTTGAACCATGCTTTAGGTAGGAATTTGTGTTACCAACTAAAGGGTCACAGAGTTGAATGCTCTAAGGCTTCCAATGACCTGATTGTACAGGTTGGGAGTTGGGATTGTTGTCTATCCCAACAGGATGGAGCTGAGCTGACAGTCCCATATGGGGGTTAATCTGAAGGCAGTCACCCTTTGAATGAGATCTGATCATTGTCGAATGTTATTTCCTCAAATCTCAGTAAAAGTTCAAGTGAAGCAAAGAACCCATTAGATGGTATCTGTGTAGGAGTCTAGTTTGGTCTTTGGGCGATTATAGGGATTCCCGCACTCTTTTACAATGGAAGGCATTGTTAATTAATATTTAATTCGATTAATGTTACGGTTTAGGGTCTACAGGTGATCTTGGTGTGCTCTGAGTCCTTATTTCTTTAGTCTCTGACTGTCTTTTCCCAGTTTAACCAATCATTTCCATCATCTCTTTGGCTCTGTGAAGTATCCCTAAAAGACATGCTTTTGCCACACCCACTGACATGTGTTGTTTCCTCTCGGTTAGTGTGCAGAACATTTCTGTCGTTTAAGAAGGAAAGAGGAACAGACTACTTTTTAAAAATATAAGGGTTCTTGTGGCACCTGGGTGGCTTAGTTGGTTAAGCATCTGACTCCTGATTTTGGCTCAGGTCATTCTCTCAGGGTCGTGAGATCGAGCCCCACGTCAGGCTCTGCACTGGGTGAGGAGCCTGCTTAGGATCTTAGGATACTCTCTCTCCCTCTTCCTCTGCCCCTCCTCCCAAAAGCCCCCTCTAAAAAAAAAAAAAAAAGAAAGAAAGAAAAAAGAAAAGAAAAGAATGTAAGGGTTCTCCCGTTCTTTCGCTAACAGAAAATAAGGGAGACACAATTAAATATTCAGATAAAAAATAATCCGATTTCCTTTAAGGACAATAAGTTACCTTAGCTGTTGCTAATCCATTCCATACTAGTTCAATTAAGAGCAGAGCCTCTGAATGACGATTTCAACTTTACCATGATTCTGTTAATATCTTATTCGTTATTTGAATATCTGGTTTGAAGGACCTTGGAGAACAAGAGGCACCAGTGAAGAATTTCTCCATACTTTTTCACTTTGACATTCCACAAATACACTTTTAGTACATGTAATATATGCAGAAATTTACACTTTGACCTAATTGTAGGGAGGATTGGTACAAAAACAGGGGGCAATAGCAAAGTATGTAGGGAAAAGGGGTAAAGTTGACTAGGTTATTCAGCTAGAAAAAGTAGTTGGAAAGCCATATGGATAACCACAAATATTTATCAATTCCGCATCCATGATGTCATGTGCACTTAGGCAGTGACTGTCCCATCTGAACTTCAACTCGGCTGGTCTGGAGATTCTGACAAGTCTGGTTAGGTCTCCAGAAATGGTGAAGTGGGCCTGCCAGGGGCGTCTTGGAATGAAGACTGAGGGGCATGTTAACGAAAACCAAAGCAAACAGAGTCATTGTAAGGGAAAAGAGTCAGGCAATGGTGTTCAGTTCAGTCTTTGACCCAATTACTAGAGGTCTTTTGAGTGATTAATGTCATGGACCAAGAGCAAGTGGATGTCCCTATGGACTTGGGCCTGAGGCATGTGGAAAAAAGGCAATGAGGAACATTTCCAGTGAGACATGGAGAGTCCGGGGCACGGTACCAGGTGGGGGAGGACATTCTTTCCACGGCAGCTGAGACATCAGGGCAGGATGATGTGAGGGCAGACGAGGCGGGGAAGGTCGGCACTGGTAGCAGCCACAGCACAGGGCGGTGGCTGGTGACAGTGTGGGCTCAATCATGGTGGGGCTTTGGCTTTGGGACCTGCCACCCTTAGGCAGTCCCTGCAACCGGGGGCAGACACCATGTACCATCATGGCTTTTCCTGCTTGCAAGACCTCAGAGTTGTATCCCCGCCCGCCCCGGGGGACCGGCCAGGGGACAACAGGACACTCCGCAGAGCCGCTGAGTGTGCTCCGTTCCTGAGCACGCTGACACCTCGCGAGGACCCCCAGGATCAGGGCTGTTGGGGCAGGAGGACTCTGAAGAGGGTGAGAAGACCTACACAGCACACAATGGCCAGCAAAATTCAGTTAATCAGTTAATTGATAGACACATTCAACAATATTTACTGACCACTTACTAAGGGACTACGTAGCCGATGTAGTAAAACACTGTTTGTTACTGTTAACGTGATGCTATTTTCTCTATTACGATGGGGTCCCCTGGGGATTGTTCTATGCCCTGCTTACCACTTGTTCCTTCCCTCTTTGCCCCCCTCTCTAGCCCACTGAGGTTATCCAGCCATCACTTTGCAAAAGCCTTTTAACCGGTCCCTGCTTTGGGGGGGTCTCACCTTCCCGAGTCCTGGTTCTGTGGTCAGTCACCTTCCAGAAACACGAATCCCAGGTCCCATGGATGCCACACTGGAGCAGCTTTCCCTTGCTATCCGGCCGGAAGTAGAGTTTTCCTAGGAACACTTTCATAAACCAAAGTGGCATAAAGCTGAAGAAGCAATTACCATTAATTTACATGGAAAAATTTTTGAGTGTTCCCAGACTTCTCAGGCTTTTCTGCAACCTTAGGACATCTTGCTAACAGATGCACACAAGTCAATGGAGAGAAAGCACAGATGCTCACAGACACAGTTCGAAGCCCTGGTGGCCGGATGCAGGGATGCTGAGGGTGGTTCCTGGGGAAGGAGCAGCGCAGCTCTATATTGTGGTTTTTATCATAAAAGTGAAAAATTCTCTTCAGATTTCTTTCCATCAGCAAAAACAGGTACTATAATGTAAGTCTTTGTAAAAGCCAAGTACCCTAACAGGAACTTTCCAAAAGCCGGGATACCTATGCCCAAGGATTTCTACCCTTAACTCTACCTGTGTTCCCAGGCCTTCCCCTGGGTCCCATCCCGCAGGTACCAGCTGCAGGCCTATGGGGGGTGCTGCCTGGATCGCCCCTCACCTGTTCTCATCTCCAGTCCTTACTGAGGCTCTTATATGGGAAGAAAGCCCTTCCTGTGTAGATGGTCCCTGTCACAGTTTTCCCAATTCCCCTTCTCCCATATAAACTCAGAATCAACTTCTTTCTCATATCTCTAAGAAAGTCAGTTGATCAGGGTATTCTGGTTCTGGTGCCATGTACTGGAATTCTTTTTTTTTTTTTTGCATGCATTTCTCATCAGACTGACAGCCTATGGATTCATCTCGTGATGTCCTCACAGTGTCCTCAGAGTTACCTCCTCGTAAGACAAGGATAATTCAACAACTATTTATTAAATTGCATATCCTGCTCCCCACAAGTTGATATGATGGAAAATATTAATAGGCTTTAAAGCACAAGCTCATGAGCCCTTTTAAGCAAGAACAGAGGAATCTTGAAGGTTAGAGAATTGGGAAGAAATGTGTATGAGCTGAAGGCATGGAAGCAATGCTTGCTCATTGTTATTTCCCAGGACAGTTATTTAAACACTCTTGTTCTGTCTTGACTCTGGCACAAGAAAGAAGAGCTACCAAAAATGCACAGGACATGAACACATTCCAACAGAAAAAGTATCAACCAGAAGTGAATTGGCTATTTTATACAGAGTTTTTCCTACAACTGTGGTGACCGAAGCCAGGTAGGTGTGGGCATGATTTAAGGTCTATACAACCAAGCCACAGTGCCAAACCACTCCATTATCTTTCTTTTTCTCTCTCTTTTTTAAAGATTTTATTTATTTGATTATTAGAGAGAGATTGAGTGAGTGAGAGAGGGGGAGACAGCATGAGTAGGGGTGAGAAGCAGAGGGAGAAGGAGAAGCAGACTCCCCACTGAACAGGGAGCCTGATGCAGGACTCGATTCCAGGACTCTGGGGTCATGACCTGAGGTGAAGGAAGATGCTTAACCGACTGAGCCACCCAGGTGTCCCTCCATTATCTTCCTGCTCTGAAAAGGGGGACCTAGTTGCATTCACAAAGAAGTCATCTTTAAGACATTTTTCTTTTTTCATCCAACTATAACATACAGTGTTATATTAGTTTCAGGTGTATGGTATAGTGATTCAACAATTCCATACATTACCCAGTGCTCATACTGATGAGCGTACTCTTAACTCCCATCACCTATTTCCCCATCCCCCCACTCACCTCCCCTCTGCTAACCATCAGTTTGTTCTCTGTATTTGAGTCCGTTTTTTTGTTTGTCTCTTTTTTTATATGTTTGTTTGCTTTGTTTCTTCAATTCCACAGGTGAGTGAAATCATACGGTATTTGTCTTTATGAGACTTTATAAGTCTGAGTGACTTATTTCACTTAGCTTATCCCCTCTAGATCCATCCATGTTGTTGCAAAAGATTTCATTCTTTCTTTATGGCTGAGTAATATTCTATTGTATGTACATACCACATCTTCTTTATCCAATCTATTGATGGACACTTGGGCTACTTCATTATCTTGGCTATTATAAATAATGCTGCCATAAACATAAGGGTGCACATATCTTTTTAAATTAGTGTTTTTGTAACTACTTGGGTAAATACCGAGTAGTGGAATTACGGAATCATATGTCAATTCTATTTTTAATTTTTTAAGGAGTGTCCATACTGTTTTCCACAGTGGCTGCATCAGCTTGCATTCCCATCAACAGTGCACGAGGATTCCTTTTTCTCCACATCCTTGTCAACACTTATTGTTTCTTGTGGTTTTGATTTTAGCCATTCTTTCAGGTATGAGGTGGTACCTCATTGTAGTTTTATTTGCATTTCTCTGATGATGAGTGATGTTGAGCATCTTTGCATGTGTCTGTTGGCCATCTGTATTTCTTCTTTGGAAAATCGTCTATTCATGTTATCTGCCCGTTTTCTAACTGGATTATTTGTTTTTTGGAGTATTGAGTTGTATAAATTCTTTATATATTTTGGACATTAACACCTTATTGGATACATCATTTGCAAGTACCTTCTCCCATTCAGTAGGTTGTCTTTTTGTTTTGTTGATGGTTTCTTTTGCTGTGCAAAATATTTTATTTTATTCTAGTCCCAATAGTTTAATTTTGCTTTTGTTGCCTTTGCCAAAAGAGAAATATCTGGAAAAATATTTCTATGGCTGATATCAAAGAGATTCGTGCCTATGTTTTTTTCTAGGACTTTTATGGTTTCAGGTCTGACACTTAGGTCTTTAATTCATTTTGAGTTTACTTTTGTGTATGGTATAGAAAGTGGTCCGATTTCATTCTTTTGCATGTAACTGTCCAGGTTTCCCAACACTTTTTGTTGAGGATAATGTCTTTTTCAAATTGTATATTCTTGCCTCTTTTATTATAGACTAATCGGCCATAAAAGCATGGGTTTATTTCTGGATTCTCTATTCTGTTCTATTGATCTACGTGTTTGTTTTTGGGTCAGTCCCATACGGTTTTGATTACCACAGCTTTGTAGTAGATCTTGAAATCTGGGATTGTGATACATCAAGTTTTGCTCTCTTTTTTCAAGATTGCTTTGGCTCTTCAGAGTCTTTTGTCGTTCTGTAGAAATTTTAGGATTATTTGTTCTAGTTCTGTGAAAAATGCTCTTGGTATTTTGATAGGGATTGCATTGAATCTGTTGATTGCTTTGGGTAGTATGAACATTTTAACAATGTTGGCTCTTCCAATTCTGAACATGGACTATCTTTCCATTTGCTTGTGTCATCTTCAATTTCTTTCACCAAAGTTTTATAGTTTTCAGAGTACAGGTCTTCCTTGGTTAAATTTTAAGACTTCTTTAACAGTAACTAAAGGGCGCCTGGGTGGCTCAGTTGGTTAAGTGACTGCCTTTGGCTCAGGTCATGATCCTGGCGTCCCAGGATCGAGTCCCGCATCGGGCTCCCTGCTCGGCGAGGAGCCTGCTTCTCCCTCTAACCCTCCACCCTCTCATGTACTCTCTCTCTCTCTCATTCTCGCTCTCTCAAATAAATAAATAAGTCTTTAAAAAAAAAAACAAAAAAAACCCCAGTAACTAAAAAGTAACAAGAAGGGAGCCCTGTGTTAAATACCGGGATTATAACATTATTCCAAACTCCTTCAACTCAGGGTCACGCAGGGGGCTGACAGGACACCTGGGCTTGCCTCATTTGTGTGCCACTTAGACTGTCCTAGGATGGCCAATAAGAGCACTTTCATATTCTACAACAGTCAGTAGAACCTGACCTGCTGACTGCACTGATTGCCTTCCCTATTTACCCTTAACAGGAAAGAGTGATCTGAATAAGAATGACTAATTAGAAGCAAGCATTTCAAGTAAGCATTCCATGGTGGACTGGTCCATGATCACTAGGGATTGAGCAACTGCTGGAAATATGCCTTTAGGTTTGTCTTTCTTTTTCTTTTTTAAGATTTTATTTATTTGAGAGAGAGAGAAAGAGCAAGAGCAAGAGTGGGGGGAAGGGGCAGAAGGAGAGGGAGAAGCTGAGCAGGGAGCCTGACGTGGGGCTCAATCCCACGACCCCAGGATCATGACCTGAGCCGAAGGCAGGTGCTTAACTGACTGAGCCACCCAGGCGCCCTAGCTTTGTCTTTCTTTTTAAACAGGCTGATGATAGCAGAAGGCTCCTCGAGTTTGGCACATGGTTTGAGAACGTCATGCTCAGGATGTGCTTCTATCTTCTGGCAGAGCGCTAAGGGCACTCTGTAATAACCCCTGAAAGCGCTGGGTCCCTTCTCCTCTGAATCAGAGTCCCCTCCTACCTGATGTTACAGAATGAAGAAACACCCAAGGAACTCTGCCTTGGGACAATGAAACAGTGTGACCCGGGATCACCTTTCCCTTTGATTCTCAAAATCTTCTCTTCTGCCTAAAGGGATGCTTCGCCACTTAGTAAATGCTTATAAATGGTGTAGGAATGAAAATACCTCGTCCTGCGCTGATACAACCAAGAAATGTAAAAGTACCCAAGGGAAATTCTGACCCATTCAGATGTCTACCAAAAAACCTCCAACCCTGCCCCCTCCCAAAAACAAACAAAAATGGGATTTCATAGTTACTTCCTGTCCTATTTTTAAAATGACCTTAAGAAGACAAGTAAAAGATAAATTTAGCAAAGTTTACAAGTCAGAGGACCCACTGAGGAAGTGCACAAAAGGCCATGTGAGATTCAGCTGTGGATGTTTGCATCAACAATGACAGGGAAGTGGCCTCGAGTCCTGAGTCAGTGCTCTCCCTGCAGGGTTGGTACATAAGGGGCTCCCCCCGCGGATGGCGGCACCAGACCTCCCTCGCCTCCCGAGTCTCCCTCCTCGCTACTCCCTCCTGAGTCCTCTCTCCTGACGCCATGGGCTGCTGTGGCTGCGGAAGTTGTGGCGGCGGCTGGGGCTGCACCACCTGCAGGTGCTACCGGGTGGGCTGTTGCTCGGCCTGCTGCCCCTGCTGCTGCGGCTGCTGTGGGGGCTGTTGCAGTACCCCCGTGGTCTGCTGCTGCCACCGCTACTGTCACCCCTGTGGCTCGTGTGGCTGCGGCTGCCATGGCTGTTGGCAGCAGAAGAGCTGTTGCAAGAAGCAATGTTGTTGCTAGGCGGCCGGCGGCTCGGCCCCTGCACAGGAGCTACTGGGGATTTCTTCCCCTCCATTCACCTGTTCTACCTGTGTCCTCTAGTATTCTGAAACTTACCCTCTGGGGCTGACTTTGCTCCTGGATTTAGTTTCCTCTTTTTTCAGCTTTGGGTGTTCCCAGTTTTCCTAACTGAAAGTTTCCAATCAAATAGGAAACAGCAGAAACAAGGATATGAAAACTCGGAAAGAAGAGCTGACATCATGCGCTCCATCGGACAGGGTCACGTTATTATTCCTTAGATGTATGTGATTATTTCCTTCCCGTGTGTGTGCTTTTTTGTCTGCTCCTTTTTCATCTTGCATCCCTATTTGTCAATAGCTCTTTTCTAAATTTTCTAGTAAAATAAAAACTTTTATCATTAAATGTTTCTCTTTGCCTTTATTTTGATTTTATCGTATCCCACCTCCTGGAACATCTTACTCTCACTTAAACATCCCTTGGAAGACGGGCAATGATAGCAGAGCAAGGCAAGGACCATGAGAGTAGCTTTCTTGCCCCTGCTGTCCATGCATTCCAGGTACCAACACCAACGGGACACTTGAAAGAATGATTTACCTACATTGTGAATTCTATTTTGAAATGACAGTTTCAGTTATAGAGAAACAAGTCTCCCTAATTCATAAAAAATCCTGTTTTATTCACAAAGAAACAATTCAAACAAATTTTCAGAAATACACCTGCTACCAAAATATGGACGGCTACATTTGCTTCAGATTCCCATCTATCGGAGCCATTTACTCTTTGTGTCAAGGACAGAGTCCTACCCCTGCCGTGCAGGCCCTTTCATTTTTTTCCCCTCTAAACTCAGCCAGCAGTGCACATTTAGACTTTTGGTATTATTAGTTTAGCTTTCTAGCTCCCTAAATACAAAAAGTAATGCTATCAGGTTGTGCTAAGTGGGTCGGCATTGATGGACATGGGATTTATCTTCATTCTCTTCTGTCTATATTAATTTAACCTCAATTGGGGTGTTGTTGAGGCTCAAGCTTTCTTTTGACTTCATTTCAAATATTTTTTTTCTTTTTTTAAAGGGGGGAGGGGCAGAAGGAGAGGGAGAGAATCTCAAGCAGACTCCATGCTGAGCCTGGAGCCTGATATGGGGCTCGGTCTCATGACCCTGAGATCATGACCTGAGTCATGTTGACTGAGTCAACAGTCAGATGTTTAACTAACTGTGAGTCAACAGTCAGATGTTTAACTGACTGAGCCACCCAGGTGCCCCTCGGATCTTACTTAATAACTTAAACTGTGAAGTATGTTTCTAAATTTTATTTCCATTTTTTTTAGGCTCATGAGCTTAGAGGGGCTCTGAGTGGTCATTGAATGTGTGTCCTTTTGCCAGACTGTGGCAGTCTATTCTTGATAGGAAAACAGTTTTATGAGCAAGATCTGTTTCCTGTACACCTAGCGGAAACCAGAGTTCAGTTAATCCTCCATAGCCATCATTCACTTGGAAGATACAGATTGAAATACAAATGACATTTTATGATTCAGATCATGAGGTGTACTTAGAAGGATTTAAATATTTCGGAAGAGTCGACTTTCTGTTGACAAATGTTCTCTGAGAAATCCCAAGATATAAAGACAGGTCTAAAGTGCTGAAGCCAGTTCAAAGATGGAGTAGATCCTGCCTTAGAGTGTCTTTGGGTGGGGTGTTGTGTTCAAAGAATTGTAATCCAAGGCCAAGTGTGATGCTTGCTGCAGGTGTTTCCAACAGAGGTGGAGAGAGAGTTCTTGAAAACATCCAGAGTGGCTTCATAGCAGTGAAATCTCATGGCTTTCTTGTTCCCTGTGGACTCTTTGGTGTATGTGCTCTCTGACACTTTTGGTCTATTTGGGACCAGAGCCAGAGAGTGGCAGAGGTTATTGTCACTGCAATATGAAGATCATCAATTGTTGCCTCATCTTTTGCCACAAGGTACATGTTTCTCAGATGGACTAAGTACTGAAAACAAAAAGATGGATCACAATTTAAGGAAAATATTTCTGTAGTTCAATTGAGCTCAGCAAATATTTTCATTTTTCAATCTGATATTTTTCTCACTTTGTTTTCAAATCCTTATAGGCCCTGCCTATAAATTTCCCAATTATTCAGATAACCTAAATGAAGACCCATATTTTGCAATTAGATTGCAGAGAGGAACATTCAAGGACTGAGGTGAGACACAGGATGTGTGCATGCAGAGTACCCTTCCCGTGCTTTTCAGCCCCTGTCACCAAGCCCCCATACGTGGATCCTGTCTGATTTCCTTGTGAATTTTGTGATAGCTTCATGTAGTGGGAATTAGTGTAGACCACGCTCAGGAGGAAGAATAGAGAGCTGAGTGTGTCAAGGAAAACCAGGGACCACACTGTACATGTGCCACGTTGTGGATACCACAGCAGCATCTTTCTTTCTTTCTTTTTTCTCTTTCTTTCTTTCTTTCTTTCTTTTTCTTTTTCTTTCCCTCTCTTTCTCTTTCTTTCTTTCTTTCTTTCTTTCTTTCTTTCTTTCTTTCTTTCTTTCCTTCTTTCTTCTTTCTTTCCCTCTCTTTCTTCTTTCATTCTTTCTCTCACTCTCTTTCTTTTTCTTTATTTCCTATTTCTTTCTTTCAAGATATTATTTATTTTTGCAAGAGAGAGAGAGAGAGGGCATGAGCAGGAAGGCGGGGCAAAGGAGGAAGCAGACTCCCCACTGATCAGGAAGCCCAATGAGGGACTCGATCCTAGGACCCTGGGATCATGACCTGAGCCAAAGGCAGACACTTAACCAACTGGGCCACCCAGGTGCCCATGCACGTTTCTTTCATTGAAGCATCAGGGATGACGTGTCACACAGATTCATCTAAGCCACAGCATCTCTTTAAGCTTGTGGCTCAGGATCCCCACAAACACATGTATTGTTGGTACTCATCAGGCTTGCCCCAAAGAGTGTATTGGTTTGCCAGGGCTGCCATAATGAAGTACTGTAGACTGGGTGGCTTAACCAATAGGAATTTATTTTCTCACAATTCTGGAGGCTGGAAGTCCAAGATTAAGAAGCTCCTTGACTCAAAGTCCAAGATGAAAATGGCAGCAGGTTTGGTTTGCAGCCTTTTTCTTTGGCTTGAAGATGCCTGCCTTCTTGCTCTGTCTTCGCATGGTCTTCCTTCTGTGCACATTTGTGTCCTAATTTTCTCTTCTTATAAGAACACCAGTCATATTTGTTTAGGACCCAACTTAAGGACCTTTAACTTAATTACCTATTTAAAGAGCCTATCTCTAAATATAGTCCATTCTGAGTTACTGGGAGTTAGGACTTCAACATATGGATTTTGGAGAGATGCAGTTCAGCCCCTAGCAAAAGAGTAACAAAACATAGAAAAGTCTTATGCTTTGTCCTTCATTTATGTAGTTTAGCTAGTGGCCTATGTTTAATATAATATGGCCTTTTTGCCTTTTTTTTTTTTTTTTTTGTCAGTAGCCATTACAGATATACACTTACTTTCTTTTCTATATCAAATTGTCACCTAACAAAGAAATTGTGTCTCAGTGTCCCTCATAGGACCCGGCACAATGTTTGGCAATAACTCACTGGTTCACCCTGCTGCCTGAGTCCTTCTTTCACCAATTGATGTCAGTACTGAGTAACAACAACTCAGCCAATCCTGACAGCCCCCATCTTCTACCTATACTGCCTGAAAACAAGCTCACATTTCTTGTGAGCAGGATGGAGAAAGCAGGGGCCTAAGAAGTGTTACATCTTCAATGCTAGGAGGGCCATGTGTCCCAGAATTCTGCCTATCAACCTTACTTTGTGGGAAAACTGCCTCAAGGAGTCCTCATGAAGAAAAGCTAGGTAAGATAGATGGATAGGACTCTCCCTGCTGAGAATAGCTATGTGATAGGAGGTGGCTCTCTCTCTCTTTTTAAAGATTTTATTTATTTATTTATTTGAGAGACAGAGCACAAGTGGGGGGAGGAGCAGAGAGAGAGGGAGAAGCAGACTCCCCTCTGAGCAGGGAGCCCAATGCAGGGCTTGATCCTGGGACTCCAGGATCATGACCTGAGCCCAAGGCAGATGCTAAACCGACTGAACCATCCAGGCGCCCCTAGGAGGTGGTTCTAAATGTGGAGGCTGGCAGGAGAAGTGTGAGTCAGAAAATGGAGCCCATCCTAGAGGCTGAGAATAACTAAGAGGTACTGAGTAGCCAGAGGGCACTAGAGGCTCAGGACTCTTGGATATGGAAAAGGAAACAGAAACAGAGATGGGTATGTGTCAACTTAGAATTTGAGGAAGCTCATCTCAGACCCCCTCCTCAAACCTTATCTTCTGAATTTCAAAGGGGAAGGAAGACTATCTTTTCAGGGGCTCCCTTTGGGGATTTTACTTGACATGGCTACTCAATTCATATTTCCTTTGGTGATTTCATTGCATTTGGTCACTTCAACCTATGTAAGCATCTGTGTTTGTCAGGCTCTGCTTAGAGTGACAAGGAAATACCCCATATAGACTTGTGGTGTTAAGACATCTGCTAAGAGACAGGATGTGCCCCTGAGTTCAAGAGCAAGAATGTCCTTCTTCTGGAGACAGATCACAAGGGCTTGGCTTCTCTCAATCCCAGCTTCACCACCAGACCCAGCTGGGAGACCCCTGTCTCCTTTCTCTCTCAGCTCACTGCTAAACCAACCATGATGGATCAAGAATCTGGAAGCTCCACAGAAAAGAGAGGGAGCACTATGGGAAATTAACAGAAGGGGTGTTTGGGAACACATTTTACTGTGTGTGTGGGGGGGACTCCTTCAGACAATGTTGAGGGGGTGGTATGAAAGTTGCCCAGTCTGATTATTTTGAATCTAATGCTCATCTTCTGACACTACATCCGAAAGCCTATTTTGCAGTTTGTAGTAGTTGACAGACAGACTTCCGTGGCCCCTACCAGGGCTCCAGCAGAACTTCTGGGAGAGTTGCATGGGAGGGTATGGATGCTTAGTGAGGTGACGGCTGAATGGAAAGCACTCATGGACTATAGAGCTAATGGACAAAGAGATGTGAGACTCTGGGCTTCCATTTCCGTTGCCTTTTGGAGTAATTCTCAGCAATGAAGCCATGACAATCAGGATCAACATGCAGTAGAAAAAGACCCTAGGAGTAGACAATAAGTGACCCTCATACACGATAAGCCTCAAAAGTGACCATGATGCGATCAGATGATTATGCAGGATCTGTATGAATATTCACGCACTCAGACTTCTGTTGCTAAGACTCTATCAAGGGAGAGATTTGGGAAGAGTTCAGTTTATGACATTCATCTGCTAAGAGAGAGGATGTGCCCCTGAGTTCTTTGCTTCTTGATAGACCCACAGTGGATTAACCATTTACTAATCCATCTGTATGGAT